TTTTTTTTTTTTTTTTTTTAAATCTTTTTTATGGAACTCCATTGGGGTATTTAACAACACAATAAAAGATAGATTATGTCGTACACAAGGAAATTACTGGACTTTTCCAGAGAGGTGGAGAAACCTCTTTCCTTATTGCTCTTCTCCGCCTATTTCATCTCCGATCTCTTCATTTCTGCCATAACCACTTTCTCTTTTTCCCTGTCGACGGCCCGATTCTTCGAGAGAGCGATACGCAACTGCAACAATAATGTACAAGTTGAAGAGAAAGGATATCGATCAAGTTAACGATGATTTCTCCGATTTCTCTCTTTCTTCACCGGCGACAAAGATTCGCCGCCTGGTATGCAATTTTTCTCTCTTTTTTGCGTCTGATTCTTATGAATTTCTACTGGGTTGTAGTGTTTTGGGTTTTACTGAGGTTTAGTTTGAAGTGGGTTTTTTGTTTTGGTTCTCTGTAGGATGCGGAGTTGCCGCCTATAATTGAGGAAGATGAAATTCCTGAAGCTCTGGTCATCGAGGAATTGTCGGTTCCGCCGGTGAATGAAGAGAGGGCGGTTGTTCTGTTCAAGCCATTTAATACCCATCTCTTGCACTCCCCTTCCAAGTTTTCTGTGACCCTTGATTCTGATATTATCTCCGGCTTTAAGAGTAAGCATTTATTCCTAGTTCTCTCTTTTCTTCTTCTTCTTCTTAACGCATGTTCAGATTAAGCTACTGTTTGGTACTTGCAAGAAGTAGAGGAGTGAAAGAAGCTTGAATTATAATCTCAAATGGGTGGTTGTCAAAGCTGTGTATTTTTTATCTATTGGATTTAATTTCCTAGTTATTAACAAGTGCTAAGTGTTAGGGGTATGTAGAAATTGGGGGTGTTGTTCTGCTGGTTTTAATGCATCATGATGTGGATACAGTCCACTTTGGAGTGTGTTTAATGATTTGAGTGCTTCCAAGGCTAATTATTGGTCATTGAACCAAGAAGGTTGTGTTCTTTTGATCCCACTTTTATAGGTAACTCTAGTCTGTAAGTTCTCCCCATGTCCAAAATAGAAGTGTTAATTTTTGCTTGTTAGTGTTGCTGGTGGAGTAATTGCCTTTGTTGGGAAGAAAAATTATAAGCAGGGTATGCCGGTTAAGCAGCATTGGATGTATGGTCGTCTGTCATGCTCGTAGGGCCAGCTACATTAAACTGAACAATCAATCAATCATCGGATGTGGATTCTCATACCTTGAACCTACTTTCATATTTAAAGTTGTTACAGAAAGTGGGCAGTTTCTGTTTCTCTTTTCTGCTCTAAAGCTTTTTGTGTACACTTAAAATCTCTTTTTTTGGGGGAATTGTCAACTTCCTCAACACGGTTTTAGGGCATATGATTGATGAACAGAGGCCAATGACCCGTGAACTACCTAATCATGTTTCTATTTAGTCCTATATATGTAGAAATTGCTTCATTTTGGACCACTACTGGAGATTCTAAAGAATTGGGTTTTTAATGGTCCATGGGTTATTCCTAATTTTTTTCATCCTTTAAAATTTAGAACTAACTATTTTGTGCACCTTCTGCAGAGCAATTTCTACAGTCAGGTAACCCTGCTCCCCTAAACTCAGCTGATGATGAAACAGCAGCTCTGTCAAAAACTAATATTGTGTCAGAAAATGAATGTCGAGCTGTGGTTCCATGGTTTCCCCCCATCGTTCCTTCCATTGTAGGCGAGGATGTTTCCTCACCGGAGGCCCCACAGTCAATGGACCCTGATGACATGGGGGAAGCATCAATGGATATTGAAGAAAGCAGTAATGTGAGCATGGAACAAGAGCCAGGATATGGATTTGGTGGTTTGAATGCTAGTGAGGGCTTCCAGCAGTGGCCGCAACAGCACTGTATGATCCCACAGCCACCTCAGAACACCTTCACTCCCATCACATGGTTCCGGTAGTAAAAGAGAGCAAAGTAAATGGAATGTTGCCTCCAATTTTTGTAATTCTTCTGCCTTTTTGGAGTGCATTGGAGGGAGTTTAGATGTGGAAGCAAAATATGGATCTCACTTTTGTTGGCTATTGGAGATGAAAACCATGAAGCCTGTTCTTGGAAGGAGATAATGTGTTGTAGTAGATGTAAAATTTCGTTTCTCCGAAGTTTGTATTCTCTTCAGATTAAATAGAATTCAGTTCAGAGCTCAATGATCTTGGATGAGTACTTCATGTATATTCAAGAAAATTTGTATCAAATTTCCTTGAGTATATTGTGGTGGGGTGAGTGATGATTCCACGATGAAATAGAATCAAAAAATTTAAAAGAATTGGATTTGGTACACATAGTGAATAATGAGTGATGGCAAAGGTGGGCGAGATTGGAGGGTAGCCGTGGGCCTCGGGAGGGAAAGACGGAGCGGTAGACTTTCTCCCCAGGGAGACATAGCCACGCAGCTCCCTAACCTTTCGTACATCCTTCCCCAAAATGCATAAATCCCTCATCTGTGTTCTGCTGCACTGCCCCTCACCACCTCACCAACCATCTCTCTCTCTACGTCCTTTTGGTTCTCATCAGCTAGAGTCCGAGACAGGCAAAATGATGTACGAACCGCAAAAGCATCAAGTAAGGATAAATTTGAGGAAGAGAGCGGAGCGGAGACAATGCATTGAGGAAGAAGAGAGGCTTGAGATAGTTAATTTGAGTGGCATGTCTTTGGACTCCCTCCCCAATCCCACTCTCAACTTGGCCAGCATTCGCAAGCTTGACCTTTCCAACAACAATCTTCAGGTATGCATGCATACATGTCCTATACGGGACGAGATTATCAAATTATTTTTCCTCAACTAAAATTAATCGTTGTAAATCCTTATTGGTTTAGGATCTTCTCCAATAATTCTCGTGGCACTCTCTCTCTTTCTTTTTATTTATTTATTATTTAAGTTACATAATAAAAAATAATTTTTCTCATCTTTTAATTTACTTCACTTAAATATCATATAATTTAAACTCAAATATTTTATTTTCATCGAAAAGATATTACAATCGACTTTACTTAGATAGTCGGTTGTGGTGCTCTTACTATTATTTATAAAGCTAAATCTCGATGATAACACCAACCATTTAGTTATGTAAATTAAATTGGATTGATTTTTTGCTGAGTAATTTGAGTTTGATGTAACGGTCAGAGCATTCCCGAGTTCTTAACATTCAGACTGCTAAATGTGGTGGTGTTGGATGTGCGCTCAAACCAGCTCTAGTGTCTCCCCAACTCCATGGGTTGTCTTTCAAAGCTTAAGGTTCTCAATCTTTCAGGAAACCTTCTTCAATCCCTACCCAAGACCATACAAAATTGCAGGTTAATTCCTCCCCTCAACTCATTGTATAAATCATACACATGCCCCATCATAGTAAATAAATGTTTATATATATATATAGAAAATAGAAGTTCCTAAATTTAACGATTCTTTTCCCTTTATGATATATATGGAATGTCATTTCAATGTTTTTGAGTCATTAATTTAGTTTTGTTTCGGGTGCTTAGAGGAACTGAACTGCAATTTCAACTTGCTGAGCAAACTACCAGACAATATTGGATATGAGCTGGTTAATCTAGAGAAGCTCAGAGTCAACTCAAACATGTTGGTTTTCCTTCCACAATCCGTTGCCCACCTCACCTCTCTACGCGTCTTGGATACCCGCCTCAACTGCCTTCGATCTCTCCCTCAAGACCTTGAGAACTTAATCAACCTGGAAGTCCTCAACGTCAGCCAGAACTTCCAGTACCTTGATAGCATACCATACTCTGTTGGCTTCCTCATCTCCCTTGTTGAACTGGATGTGAGCTATAACAAGATCACCACTCTGCCAGACTCAATGGGATGCCTGGGGAAGCTCCAGAAGCTGTGCGTAGGCCGTAGAGGGTAATCCATTGGTTTCACCGCCGATGGAGGTGGTTCAGTTAGGCATACATTCAGTTAGGCAGTACCTGAGTGAAAAGATGCATGCAGGGCACAAGAGCCCAACAAAGAAGAAATCATGGGTTGGGAAGTTAGTTAAGTATGGGACCGCAGACAATGATGAAAGGGAGGGCTTCTTCATGCATGAGTATCGCTCCATTGACGGGTTTGCTTCACCCCGGTACATAGGGATGTTCTTGCCTCGTCGACTCTTCTCCACACGTACATATTTCACCCGATGAACACCAAAGTTGTTGTGTTGAAGGTATCTGTCTCTGAGTATGGTTTCTGCATACAAATTACAGTCTATTGCAGCAAGAATAGTTCTATTGCTATAAGTGTTCTGCAAACAAAAATCAGACGAAAAATGATCTATTTAAGCTGCCTTCTGTGTGTGCAGTTCCCAGGAATAAGTTAATCTTCTTTTCCTTTGTCTCGAGAAAAAGGGAAGAAGAAAAAACCAAGAAAAAAGTGATAAAACAGAATGAAAGGAATAGGCTTTGGCCATTCAACAAATTCTTTTGCTACTCATTAGCTCAAAGGTCAACAACTAATCAAATGCACAGTACACATGTTACTAGAGAGAGCAACAACTACGTTTCTCTGCACCATTCATCTGAATCTGTAGTAATAAAACACATCAGAACATTGCATTTCATAGCAAACCCAGTTATTTGCAGCTAAGCTAAGCCAGGAATAAGGCACATACTCTGTGACAGTGTGAAATTCTCAGTTTCTTAATCTCAATTCATGAAATCATATATCCTAAGTTGTTCTTCCATGCCAAAAGGATGCTATCACCGGGGTTTGTCTTAGATGTAATCATCATTTTGAATATATCAGAGATCATTTTGAAGCATACAATACAAGCACGGTTTGCTATTTGTGCAACAATAGAGCGGACATCTCCCTAATTTGACTAAATGCAGTAAGAATGAAGTAATAAAAAGAAAAGAATAAACTTTTTACTCCAATACCTTGAAATGAATGATGCTTCTTTGTATATTCAATCAGAAAATCGAATATCATCCATGAAACCATAATATGCTTCAAATCAATAAACCACTGAAGGACAAAATGCATTTGCATACCCGAAATGGTTCCTAAACAAAGACTTAAGTTTCAAAGAAAGCAAAAGGAGATAAAGAACATGACACCAAAGCAATCAATGTATATAACTCAAAGACTTATTAATGTCATTCCCCAACTTAACACCAAAAATCATTCCCTAACAAGAAAAGAAATCGAGGAGAAACCCACAACATTTTACTCATTGCCAAATGTTCAACTACCATCAATGACAAACAAAGAGATGTTCTCATTATGTTTAAGGTAATATTTAACTCATCTAAGATAAGCCGGGATCTTGATGCGAATAAAGAGCATACTCATAACATAGGCAATGAAAATCGAGGAGATCCCAGCAGAGGCATAGGAGACCTTAACGCTCTTGGCCCTGTTCTTATCGAGGGCGAGATCCAGGAGAACAATCCCAATCCCACCAAGCACAAACATGAAGCCAGACGAGAGTCCTTCGATAATGTACTGTCCATTGACGCGGCCGGGAAGGAAGACGACGGGGCGGACGGAGCCGGTGGCGGGGTCCTGAGTGGAGCCGATGCCAGGGGGCTCGACGATAACGTCGTAGACGAAACCGGAGACCACCATGAAGTAAGTGAGCAGGACAAGGCCGAAGACGGTCATGGGAGAAGGAAGGGTGAGTGATGGGAGTTTCAAGCGTAGGCGTGGCGGGCGGAGGAAGGAGTAGGGGAGGACCTTCAGGGTGTGAAACAGTGGATCTATTGAGGTTTGTACCGCCGGATCAGCCAGGTTTCCGGCGTTAAGGGATTGGGGATCTGCTTTGGGGGCCATTTCCGTGGTCCGAGATGATGAAATCTTGAGTCTTCGCTTTCTGAAACTAGGAAAAATGGAACTCGGGAGAGAAAGTTCGATTTTGGATTGATAGGTAAAGCCCTTGAAATGTTGTGTAATGTTCAATTTGGTCCTTAAAATTTGAGAGTATCCAAACCCATATCTCAAATGAATAGCAGAAGCTCCGTAGTTAAGAATATCGCCAACAATGTTTTATTTTATTTTATTTTTTTTTGACAAGGGTAATGGTTTATCGCCAACAATGTTAGACCTGAAATCTTCGAAGAATCGCACAGATACCTTCCTCCATTCTTGTAAAAACTCAAATTATTTTTTCCTTTACATTACTTTCCAATTTTTCATTTAGAAAAAAAAAAGAATTATAAAAAATTAAAATGTCCTTATAATTAAAATATC